TCAATCCAGACATATTGTCCAGACACCGGACACCGGACTGTCTGGAACCCGGTCCGGAACTCTGACTTATTGTCCAGACACCAGACACCGGAACCTGGTCTGGAACTTATTGTCCAGACACCAGACACCGGAACCCCAGAGGGGCCTCAATCCAGACATATTGTCCAGACACCGGACACCGGACTGTCTGCAACCCGGTCCGGAACTCTGACTTATTGTCCAGACACCAGACACCGGAACTCTGACATATTGTCCAGACACCAGACACCAGAACCCGGTCTGGAACCCCAGAGGCCTCAATCCAGACATATTGTCCAGACACCAGACACCGGAACTCTGACTTAGCAGTTTCGACCTCTGTACAGCTACGACCCCTACTCGACAGACCTACAGATCGATCCCCCACAACTACACAGACCTACGACAGACAAACAACCCACTACCGAAACACAGGTCACGGGTTCAAACTCTCAGGGGTCAACTCGATACTGTACATGGGCATGGTAAGGTCTGGGGATCGAACTCTAGGGCCCACATCTGTGACTGCAAAAAGGTGAAAACCGTTTCAGGAGTCTTAAAAGGTTACTCTACGATGTCACTTATATTCTATAGAATCTATAGTATATAATTATTGCATAACTACAATATAATACAATAATTGCAATTACAATATTGGGTTCATTACATCAACCCTTGTGTTCATTACAAAAGACTGTCGACAAGCACCCGGAGTCTTTGTACCCATAGCCCTTGGCATGCAACAAGCAGTCGTGAGAAAGGGCGCGGGTTCAAATCCCACCGCAGTCAAAAAAAAAAAAGGGAGCCACGATGTGGCTGGGTTTGGAAGAGAGCATGTGTTGCATGCTCATTACTCTTCGGTTGAGAAACTTTGTAGTTTGTGTGTGTGGCTTAGAGCTTTTTTTTATTTTATTAAAGGGCGACACCGTGAGATATCATAGTGCAACCGACCGGCCCCTAGGTAATTCAGGAATTTTGGTCTCATCTGGATTTGAACTCACATCTGCATTTCAGCAGTTTATGGGTATACCAACTAAGCTAAGCCCCTTGGTGTGTTGGTGTGTGGCTTGAGTTTTGCTGCAGAGCAATGTCATTGTTGACAGGTAGTTCTACAGTATGTCGATAAACCCTCTTGGGAATTAAAAGGTGTTCTACTTCTTTGTTGTCTCATTTATTGGTGTCGTTTGCAGGTGATTCTGATAGATGAGCCCACGCGAGGGCTGGACCCCATCACCAGGAAGCAGGCAAGTACTTCAGTATTGTTCGACTGGAATCTGTGTCCATGTATTGTATGTATGGTCTCCCTTTTGAGTGATAGGGCTTTCTGACACCTGTAAGGGAAGATGACTTGATGAGCGATTTCTTCTAGATTTCTTCTAGATTTTTTTTGGGTGTTTTTTTTTTACAAGTCTGAATGTTCCGAAGTTGAATCGTAACCATGTTGGAGGTGGAGGGGGGCAGGAGAAAGAGATGAAATGTGTGCACGGTAACAACAATCTCTGCAGCAGATCTCTATAAGTAATCGGCATCTCTATATGATTTTACCTTGTTTTATGTGCGAGTTGCCCTTCAGGAGGACTCTTTCAGGTTTAATTTAAGGACTCTGTTTTGGTGCAAAATTCGGGTATTGTAATGCAGGTGTGGGACATTCTTCTGCGGCGGCGCGCAGGGAGAGTTATAATAATAACATCTCAATCAATGGACGAAGCAGACCTTGTTGCAGACCGCAAGGCGATCTTGTCCCATGGTGTCTTGAAATGCTGTGGTAGCTCTTACTTCCTTCGCAACCGCTTTGGTAAGAAACACTACATGCCATCCCACGTTCATAATCAGGTCAAATGCAGTCTTGTCTTACCCAAATGCGGGGATGAAATCGTTTTATGCTAGTGGAAGAATTCAGCTGCACTTTCAGCTCCAGTCATGTCATTGTTATGCAGTCCTTCTGCATTCCCCTATTATTGAACTCCTGTATCCTGAGAAGTGTGGCTGGGTATCACTGCTGTGTAATATATGTTGCACACTGGGGCAGTCTCATTCTGCAGCTGCTCCTGGGTTCTTGTGTGACTTCAGCAGACATCTCAGGTGAAGGGAGAAGAATAGAATGTCGTAGCACGAGACAGGAAGCACAGACTGGATGTTAACACCACACCAAAAATTGAAGTCTTTAACCAAGTTCTCTCCATGACCTGGAACACTCCGCTGTCCCCCCCTTCTCTCTCTCTCTCTCTCTCTCTCTCTCTCTCTCTCATGGACCCATCACAGGCTTCCCTAGTCTGGTTAACTCCAGTACTCCTGTTAGGCCCATGTACTCAGGGCCGGTGATTTGGCAAGACCGTGGCAGGATTTGCTTCTAGATTCCAGATGCAAGCGTAATCTCTCTTTGGTGACAGGAGGATGTTTCGATGTAGCACTGGCAAAATGAAAGACTGCATGGAAAACAAGTGTAGGGGCAGTTGTTTCGTCCGTTTGTTTTTTAATTTGGTTTCAACACTGTAGCAAGAGTCTGAGAGGAATCCCACTGTTGTAACTTGCCCGTATATGAACCTAGAATACATGAAACTGTTACGAGTGTTGTGTTATTTAACTTGTGAATTAGTGATGCACCAAGCATGAACTTCTTCTCGAACTATAAAGAAGCTTATTCTCAGGATTGTACTTGTAAATCTGTGATGGTTGCTTGAGCAGGTTTGAGTTATTTGCTGCATGTGACAAAAGGGCCTACGTTCAACAGCTCTGCTGTGCTGGGCCTAATCCACAGGAACCTCCCAGATGCTGTACTCTTTCCAACCGACCGAAGGCAGGCCCATGCAACTTTCAGACTACCGATGGGAAAGCTCGCTGAAACAGCACGGATGATAACAGACCTTACTGGGTAAGTGGGTTTTTGAACACAATATCTGATATCATAAATTACCATGGAACTTTATGGAAGTTGAAACTGCTAACTTCCCCTTTTGGTTTGTATTAGTGTAGTGTTGTGTGTGTGTGTGTGTGTACATGTGTCCGCATGAGTGAGAGAGAGAGAGAGAAAGAGAGAGAGAGAGAGAGGATGGGGGGGAGATGGGTTCGATGCGAAAGAAAGGAGATCAAGTTCACAATGTCAGTTTCTCGATGCCACTTTGTGATTCAGAACCAGCTTGTGTTTCTTGATGATCACAATTGGCCTGTACAGGTTTGATGCTAAAGAAAGGAGATTGAGTTCATAATGTCAGTTTCTCGATGCCACTTCGTGATTCAGAACCAACTTATATTCCAACTTTGAAGCTTGTGATCCTTGATGATCACAATTGGCCTGTCCATATGTGCAGAGGCATTAGCAGTGCAGCACGTGCGGAGTCCATGTGGTGACAACACATCCTCGCCGCACTTCCCTCTGATGGGAAGCCCGTGAAAAGGCCTCCCCCTCCGTTGGTGACTCACTGCCCGGGTGGACAGTAGATGGCACAAAGGAGGTGCACTCGTGCTTAGAATCGTCTCTTCAGGATTTTGTCTTTCCATGCACTATTCTCAGCGCCTTGTAGAGCACTGCACACATGATTTTGTCACTCCTGCCCTGCTTGTGATAACATGTACCTGGTTCTTTTGCTGTAAAGGTGGTGACCAAAACTGCCTGTGTGTGTGAACTCGTCCTCCATCACGGAGGGGAGTTCCTTTTCATGCTATGTCCTCCTCATTCAGCTGAGACTTCCGTTGTCTGCTCGCTTCTCAGGAAAGCCCAGGAGCTTGGCGTTGAGGGGGGAGCGTTGGAGGCTACAACACTGGAAGAAGTGTTCATGCAGTTTCAAGGTGAGTAGGGAAGCCATAGACATTCATGATTCTAGCAGCAGAACTTCAATATAGTGTCTGTCCTGAATGGATTCCTTTAATCTGTACATTCGGAGTGAGTCTGTTACTGGCCTCTGTCCACATTCATCCCAATCTCCCTGTTCCTAAACATCTCATTTACATGGGGGAATGACACCAACTACTAGGAAGATTCTCACGCCCGGCCGGTCCTGCCCGGCCGGGCACCCGGGCGTGCAAAAAAAAAAAAAAAAAAAAAGATTTTTTTTTTTTTTTTTTTGGGTTTTCTGCGCTCTCCC